TTAACTTAATATTTTATTAAAAATACCTTTACAAACCTCTATTCCTTGCTAGCGTCAATTTTTGTTTACTTTTACATTTGACATTCCTCCTCTTCGCAAGTATAATGATAAAACTAGTTTGGACACCAAAAAGTTATCGGTTTAATCTGAGATAATTTTATAATTATCTAAATTTTGTATGGTTATCTCTTTTTCTAATTACAGACTAAGAAGTTGAGCTCGAAAACGAGGATAATCTTTTTATATGTAAACCTATTATTAGGCGATTCAGTTACATGCAGAGACATGTAGGTTAGGTTAGAAATTAAACACTAATTTCACTTAATTTTATTCATTTTGCTGATTTAACTTTTTTTATTCATTTTCATTTTTAATTCTCTTAATACATGAAATTATCGGTATGACACTCGTGACTCAAGGGCGTTAAAGTATCTTGAAAACATCGCATCAATTACTGTTTTTGAGCTTGTAGTTTTAGCGTTTCTATTTTTATATATTCCTAAATTTAGTTTTTCTTTTCGGAATATAATCTGTGGTTCTGCTTCATTTGTCACTGGGTTTACGTTAAAGTCATGAATAGATATAACAGACCATCTTTTGTTTGCACAATGGGGAGCTAAATTCATTTGTTTGGCATTTCCTCTTAATAATAATAATAATCCCAACGGTTTTTACCCTCCATTCCCGCCCATCCGCAAGTGGGGCGCAGTCCGCATGACGTACGGAACCAGTATTCAATTTTTGCGCCGAGTCACGATAGGCAGGAGTTTGTTAAGTGTCGAGATCTAAAACTGTTCAGCTACAGAACTAAATTCATCAGCCGATTTTATGTCTTTATTTTAATGATTCATTTATTGAGAGAGGACGGTATCGATTTCTTAATGCTGAAAAGCGGATCTGATATATCAAACGTGCTGGAATGAGAGTTAGAATCCTGGCATAAGCACCGGAGTGGGTCGTGCAATTCAAAATTAGTTTTACAAGCTTTCAGAAATAGGGGACAAAAGTGTCTTGATACCCGGGAGGGAACATTAAGGCTAACTTCGCCAAGAAGAAGCGGACTTGAAATTGAGCATGTTAGTAATTTAACTATACACATTTTACCAAGCATTTGCCGGCGCACAGTGCGTAATTTCGGCGATTTAGGGGAAGGAAACTCATAGCTCCCACAATTTTGACTCTAGAATATATTTTTTTTTTAGTTATGTACTTCTAATAGACTGTATAATTACGCTTTCAAAGGATGTGGGTGATTCCATAAGTCTAATATTTTATATGGGCATTTCCAGGGGAGGGTCTTTATAGTCAAAAATTAAAAGTGATATATCTCCGTTAGGTATGGTCGAATCTGGGTTATTTTTTCCACGTATATTGGTTGCATGTGCAGGAATATTTTTGCAAAAAATTTACCCGTTAGGTGGCGCCGGGGTCGAAATATTTTGAAAGCCCGTATTTATAGACTGATTTTGTTAATATTTGATACATAGTAAGCCATGTATTCACAAAAAATATAAATATAATTATATAATTTGATTTCTAATATCTTCGCACCAGTTTGGCTGACAGTTTTCACCTTTTGCATTAACTATAGTGTTTTACAAGCACTAAGTATACACAAATCAAAACAAAAAAAAGGAAACTTAAATTATTATTTGTGTTTCTTCACCTTAAGGTCGATTTGATTTGATTTGAGATTTGTAGCTGCCATGCCTCAAAATAAGAAAAATCCCCTACGACCAATTTTTTGTCACCAAAAATACACAAAAACCCGATTTTTTTAACCAAAGGTTGACTTTAAATCGATTTTTTTTTTAATTGTGCAATTTTGTGCAAATTCTTACTATTGGCCCTTGATATACAGATGCCCAGTTAAAAGTTCCTGAAGAGATCCAAATGTCACACGCTGTCAAACAATTTATATGCTTATATGAATAAAGCGAAATCCCATTTTTTTTTTTAATTGTGCAATTTTGTGCAAATTCTTACTATTGGCCCTTGATATACAGATGCCCAGTTAAAAGTTCCTGAAGAGATCCAAATGTCACACGCTGTCAAACAATTTATATGCTTATATGAATAAAGCGAAATCCCATTTTTTTTTTAATCTAAAGGAGCGTAAGTGATATGTAAGGTTGACGTCTAAAATTTCAAAATAATGTTTTTAATTAAGTTTACAATGTGTAAAATGCAAAGTATACCCACGACCGCAGTCTCGTTATGAAATGAGACGGATACGACCACTGATTGATAAAGACCGGAAAACTGGCGATTTTCGTTCGTCAAAACAGGCATGTTTGCACAAGCTCAAAATTCTTCCAGGTAATCTTCTAACGATTGGGGACCGATTTTCTGTTATATCAGACATCCATACGCACACATATCGTATCTGAACTTTTTTTACCAACTTCGATTTTCGATCTTCCTTCCCCTAAATCACCCAAATTACGCACTGTGCGGCGGCTGGAAAGTGTAGGAAGATTAATAAGTTTTAATCGGCTCGTATAAGGTGGAAGGTTATACTGAGAATCCGGACGGAAATATCTTAAAGCAAAAAGTAGGAATTGTTTTTGAATTGAATACTCTCGTCTTCTCTTTGTGCAATCTTGTATTAGCTCTGATCCAGTACACAATGAACTTACAGGTTTTTACACTAACTTGCCGGAAGGATCCCGTATTCCTAAATCATGTAAATGAGAGCGATTTTTGGAGAGTTGTGTAGAGAATGAAGTTGCAAGATTTTACCCGATGCTTTTTTGTTCCCGTACATTTTGCTGTTACTCACTTTTTACTCGCAGTATCTATTGGATCAGGGCTATTATATCATCCATACATATGTTATCATACATATATTCATGTACGTTCATCAGTTATCAACGGTCCCAGTTAAAATGATTTCAGTATTTTTTTTCGTCCTGTTTTTTATCAATAGACTATTAAACCTCAACAGCTTACAGATTTTAAAAGTTTCTTCAATGATCATAGATGTATTATCCCTGCAACAGTATCCTTTTACCCATATACATTTGGTAAAAAATTCGTTATATGAGTACATATATACATAAAGTGCAATTTTAAGTCGCTAAGGCTTACCATTAATTTTTGGCAATTTTTTTTTATTGGCGGTATTACGTATTTTTGTCATACAAAGTAAGTATGTTCGACCATTTTTTTGAAAGAGAAGCAAAACATTTCAATCGCACTTTATTATACTCAATTTTAGTGAGTTTCAAAACTGCAAACCAAATTTTTTCTAAAGATTCTAATTAAAATGTTTGAAATTTTGGTGAAACATTGCAGAATTAATTTTTATAGTTTTTTGCATAAAGTTGGAAATTTGTTGTTATATGAGCTTTACTCTCATAAAATAAATAATAAACATTAAACAAACTAAGGAAAAAATAGCCAAAACTTACTAAATGTCGAGCCCTAATTTCTATTTAGGTCACTGTATGTAATCCTCGATTCGAATCACAAACATTCAGACTAGAAAATAATATCTGTTTATGGAGAAAATTACGGTCATATACCAACATCACTTAAAACTAGTTCATAGGGATGCCATTTCAGTGAGTTGTTAAGCCGTCGAAACAACATCGAATACGGGACAAATACAGGACATTAAAAGAAATACAGAACATTTGGCGTCCCGTTTTAAATAAATAAATTACCAGGACATTGCGTCAAAAAAAGAGGACTGTCCCGTATTATACAGGACGGATGGTCACCGTACATATAGGCACAAAGCCGTATGCAAGGCCGGAGTTTGCATAATCGGAAGTAATAATCAATTGCACCGTATTTCGTCTTACTCTGCATATGCCTAAATGTATGCAACCATTTGCAATAGCACAGGGCGCTTCTAATGAAATTACAAATTTGCTTCTGCAATACACAATTTTTGAAATCATAAAAACAACCGTACCATGCTGTGCAATGGCGCATCGTGTAGCTCCTTCCTTTTCTACTGTAGCTTTTGTGCATTTTTAGGCGCAGTGCTACAAAAAGGAAACGCATGCACAAGGTTGCAAACTCGCAGGGTGCACCTGATGATTTTTTTTGTCATTCCGTTATTCAAACAAATTTTTTGGTGATGCATTTCCGAACGTTCTTTTTTGCAGTTCGCAAATATTTTTTATGCATTTATGCATTGCTTTTAATAAGGTTTTAAACAAAATAATGTATAGATTTAACAATAACAATCGCGCCGTCAAGTTTAAATAGCGGCAAATCAGCCCTTCGAAATTTTCTGCTAGGCTATGCGTTACAGCTTCGCAAATTTTACCCCTACCGAAACCAAATATGTATACACATCAAAAATTCATTAGGAACCTAAATGAATTAATTAATTAATATTTCATTCAACATTTCTATTAAAATAAAAAAATTCACTACTCATTGCCTACATTGCGCACTTTTCTACTACCATGAAACGCATGCACAAGGTTGCAAACTCGCAGGGTGCACCTGATGATTTTTTTTGTCATTCCGTTATTCAAACAAATTTTTTTGGTAATGCATTTCCGAACGTTTTTTTTTGCAGTTCGCAAATATTTTTATGCATTTATGCATTGCTTTTAATAAGGTATTAAACAAATTAATGTATAGATTTAACAATAACAATCCCGCCGTCAAGTTTAAATAGCGGCAAATCAGCCCTTCGAAATTTTCTGCTAGGCTATGCGTTACAGCTTCGCAAACCAAATATGTATACACATCAAAAATTCATTAGGAACCTAAATGAATTAATTAATTAATATTTCATTCAACACTTCTATTAAAATAAAAAAAATTCACTACTCATTGCCTACATTAAGCACTTTTCTACTACCATTTTCACGCAGGGAAGTTCATTCTTTCTCCTTTCTCCATCCTTCGTTAATAAAACTTTTAGAATAGGAGTGTCAAACACGTCTGTCATTGTTTATCTAACATTTTATTATTAAACTAAGATTATATCTAACTAATGCTATGCGTTACCATTTTTTATCAATGTCTTTTAGATCCATACACCGGCTGCGCTTCGTCATTTCATTTGACAGGGCTAAGTCTTAACTCTGCCGATTATTTAGGAGCGCGCTCACTTGGCGATCTACATCCAGCAACTGCGGCAGCAGCGGCAGTTGCCGCCAATTCATTAACAAGTACAGACTTTCATTTCAGCGTCGACGGATCGCGATTGAACAGCCCGCGACCAGGAAGCCTACGCGCTAGTATTAGCCGGAAACGTGCTCTATCCTCTTCACCATACTCGGACTCCTTCGATATCAATTCAATGATAAGATTCTCGCCCAACTCTCTAGCTACCATTATGAACGGTTCGCGGTCCAGCAGCACTGCTAGCGGTTCGTATGGGCATTTGTCGGCGGGCACCATCAGCCCCGTGCCACATTTGCAGCAGCTTCAAGCGCATTTACTAAGAGCGAGTGCCGGTCTACTGCATCCGCTGCCTTCCCATCAAGCTGCGGCCGCCAGCATGTTCGCCATGGGCCACATGCATCCATTACAATCGGCCGCGGCTGCAGCAGCCGCTGTAGCAGCAACGGTGGTCAACAGTGGTTCAGTGGGTAGTACGAGCAACACTACAGGAATACCAGCCACTGGTAGCAACACAAGCATGCCAGCCAATAATAATATTGTTAACACGACTACACCTAGCCCCATGGCAAGTGAACATTTGTTGAGTAGAAAACTGGTAAGCGAAATTTACTATGTTACCTTAATATATAAAGACCTTATCTAACATTTTTAGTTCTCTGCGAGGTGATTAAAGAACTTAATAAAAATTTCAGTTCTTTAGATAGGATTTCCTACCAGGGCTGTTCTTTATTGAAGATTACCACACATTTTCTCAACAAGAACAACCACTCCACTAACAGTCGTGTACAAACTCTTTTGTTATTATTCACGAAAATATTCGAAGTCTCCGGCAAAACTTTGATTTACTGCTTTGCTATCTTGAGCTAATTAAAACTCCTTCGTATATTCTATTTGTATCTGAAATCTAGATATATTTATTCGAAGAATAAGTAAATATGAGTAGTCCACTTGCAAAGTGCGCTATGTAAAATTTTTTCGATTTTTAGTTTTTGGTGGATTACGTACCAGTATTTAAAGTACATAGTTTCATGCCCACTAACAACACAGTGCAAAATCTTCTTATATTCTGAAAAAAATAGCATAAAATGTTAACTCTTCTTTCAAAAGTCGCTATCATACTTATTTATAAATTTTCAAAAGTATCCATCTTCTGATGAACCTAGAAAACTGCTTTAGGTCGTGTAGACTGTTATTGTTATCTTATGCCATGGTATGTTATGTTATAATTTTATAAGGCTCTTATTTATCCAAATTTTCAGGTAATAATAAAAAAGATTCAATTTAAATGTTACTTGTTGCCGTAGTCGTTTTTTTCAAATTTATGGCTTTCTATTATAAAATCACATAACGCTGTTTGCAAGTGGACTACTCATATATAAATAAATAAATGCAAGATTTTAAAATACAAGGCTACAATATCTTAACGAAACTTGGTATGTGTACTTCTTTTCTGCGTAGGACGGATGTTTTGAAAATGGGGATAATCGGACAATAACCACGTCTACCTCCCATATAACGGTAGTTTTCAGAAATACGAAACCTGCGATATTTTAGTAACTACTGAAGCTTATTCACTCAAAATTTATATTTACAGTAAATTTTAGGCAAAAATTAAAATATTAATAATTTTTGGAAAATGGGCGTAGCCACATGATTACATGTGGGAACCGTTCCACTAATTTCTGCCAAACTTGGCACAGTCGTTGGTCTTGACAAAACATACCAAACGGCTGGAAATTTTTTAAATCGGACATAATTTAGAGAAATACGAAAGCTTCGTTAAATCAGCTAACTTATTCAAAATTGATGCTTGAAATAACTCTTTATCACAAATTATGTTTATGATAAAATTTTGAAAAATGGGCGTGGCACCGCTATCGAAGCTGTTTGTGATAGGCGTAACACCACCCCTTCTTACCACGTAGCGGAAGTTTTCGGAAAGGTGAAGAAACAATATTGAATACTTGCGAAGGGTATTATTGTTCGGCACTGCCCGAACTTAGAATTTTTAGTTTTATTTAAGGCCTCCTTATGAACAATTCTTTAATTTTTTGTTGCAGTGTAGAAGCATAAATACTATTTATTCGGACATCCCACTCGTAAGCATTTGACATATAATCACCTGTCAGAGCAAAGTCTTAGAGAAACTGAATACTCTTAAGTTAAAATGGAAGGTCTGTGGGAATAAAAAGGACACCTTACAGAAACACATCTTCTCCTTTGCTGCATCCAGTAAAAATTCTTGCTGCAATTATATTGGCCATAATTATCTTTACTAAAAATCTTGTTTCAATATTAAGGCCCTAAATTTCCAAATTTCAAAGTCATGAGACTTACGGTTCCGAAGTTATTTCTGATTAAAAGTTTCACGCCTATGAGATTCTTGTCATTCATATGTGCCGTACTATAAGCGCTTACCATGGATATGTCTTCATACCAAATTTCAAATTCATGTGACGTGTGACCGAAGTTATGGCTTATTAAAGATTGCACACCTATAGGATGAGCCACGCCCCTTTTTAAAAAGTACATATATCTACTTTACAATAAGCATCTACCATAGATATGTTAGTCACCAAATTTCAAAGTCATGTGACTTACGGTTTCGAAGTTATAGCTGGTTAAAAATGTCACGCCTATGGGGGGTGCCACGCCCCTATATCAGATCTCATTTTTTATACCCTAGGTTACGTCACACTCTATATACCAGTTAAAGCCTTATGAAAATCCATTCAGTAGTTCCGGAGATTGGTGAGTTCAAACAGACAAACAGACAAACAATCTACAGTTTTATTATAGTTAGTAATATTTATATAGAAGATAGATAGAAAATAAGGAGCATAACATAAAAAATTCATTCAATAAGTACCCTCGCTTTACTTTTTCTCAAGAGGTGGATACTAAGCTTATTTCGTGTGTGTTTCCAAGGAATTTTAACATCTGATACTTCACAGCCTGTTGCCTCACTCATTCTTCAGGAAATAATGGAACGGGCATATATTTATGTTGCAAACATGGGTTGCCTTGCGCTCTTTTTTAACAAAAACTTCATAAAACCGTAGTAGGAAGCAAAGCAAATTTCTTAAGAACTGCGTACTACCTTAAGGAAATGCTTATCTTCTCAATTTCTTGTACGTCATTTTATATGGACTTTTTGCTTTTCTTGAGAACTGCATGATGGCCTCTAGAGTACAACTCCACAACAAGCTTTTCAGGCGTTCAGCGCTCTATTCAGCTATGCGTTTAATATTAGAGCCTAAGTGCCTCAAGCCGCAACGCATGAAAAACCTGCCATGAAGCTTCAGCTTTAACATCTGTGGGTCACTATGTTATTACAAGAACGATATACAACCAGCGCCTAACGATAAGTTAACACAGTAAAAAGTTTATAAAAGGACAGCTTTGTAAAAATCAGGACATTAGGCGGGAAAGGAAAAATCAGTCAGGACACTTTAATTCGACCCTGAAATCAGGAAATGTCCTGAAAAATCAGGACGTCTGGTCACCCTATCTACATGGCTGCTGCAGCGAATAGTTATCAAATATTTGCATCCTCCTTAAATGAGCCAACTAGTAGTATCTCTGGTACCTCGACCATGTCTTTTGCCGCTTCAGCTGCAATACCTCCAATTCATTTACTAGCCTAGTTTCGATCTCCTAATTACAGACTTTACGTTCACGGTTGCCACATTTGGTCACTTGTGACCAAAATAGGTAACTTGTATATCTCTTCTTTAGTTAAATAAAAGTATATTACACTTGTGCTTGTGATGTAAATAAACCCGCTTTCGCAAACTTTTTTCTCAAAACCAATTACAAATACAACGTCGCGTTCTTACGTGATCTTGTATTTTTGGTTCATGGGCAGTCTACTCGTAAATTTGTAGAGCGGCTGTCACACGTTCAATATTTATTGTGATATTTGGATCGTGATCTATATTGCTGGATTTCAAAATATTGATGGATCGCGCGGGAATGCTACATGTTCAATATTTATCGCGTTAGTATTTACATGTTTTTGTGTTGAGAGGTTTAAAGTCCAATAGAGGAAGCCTGGAAATCTTATCTAAATTTTATGTTATTTTATTGAAAATTCAACAAATTATCTATACTTTTTATTATATGCATGCTGATAACACATCTAATTTATTTATTTAATTTAATCAACAAACGAGATGCTTACAGACTATATGACAAATACATATATGGGCAAATCTAAAAAACAGGTAACCTTTGTGTTATTTAGCTTTATTTTCACTGTTGTAAACTAAATCAAGCTGGTTGCTTTTGGATATAGTAATTCATTGACGTATACTTAAAGCCTAAAAAGAATTTGATCAATTTGCTACATAACTTTTGAATTATATGTGTTTAAATTAAGAAAAATAATGTAAACAAGTGAATTTTTTATTTAATTTTTAAGAGGGGCACAATTAATTATGTCATAATTTTTGAAGCACACCATATTCCGATTTGAAATTAAATGGGCGTTTAGCACTTATGTGCACACTTCATATGTAGTAGGTAAGAAAAGTGTGCATTAAAAATAACGAAGTGGCAAGTAACTCAAAGTCTGTAACTTTACATTTCACAATTTTCAAAATTCTCGGTTTATCGCGTAGAGGTTTTGAAGCATTTAATTTTAAGAACTTTTTAAGTATGTATTGTATTCTACAAACAATTACGAATAATTTGATACCTTAGCAAGAGGTGTGCTTTCAGAATAAACTAACTTTTAGAGATAAAATATTCTGCGATCTTGAGCGTAATTTTTATTCCAAAAACACTTTAATTGAAGGTAGATTTGGAAAATACGTCGAAACGATCTAAATCTTTCTATAACTGATAGTCCTTATAAAATTACGTATACCTGTAAAATGCTTCAAAAAATTTGTCTCTAGAAGTGTGTAAAAACCCTGATTTACTACTTTTAATGAATCTCCTTCTTTTAGTCAGAATATTTCGAGAGTTGTATCAAAGCAACTTTTTTTCGACAAATGTTCTGACAGTTGCTCTTACTTAATTGGAGCCTTCTAAATTCAATGGCGTCCTCAGTTTACCCTATCGGCTCCACTTTTCGAGATAGCGGTACTTGAAACTTTGCTTAAATTTTAACTATTTTATAAAAAACGTCCCTGGGTTTTGCAGATATTTTTTTAGATATTTTTATTGAAGGTAGTTTACTAAAATTTTGCATATAACCGTTTTTTAATATTACCTTAACTATTCCATGAAATCATCGAAATCGCTTCACTAAAACATATAGCTCCCATACAACTGATTGATCAGAGACGTTGCTTTGCGTTATNATTAACTATATTATAAAAAACGTCCCTGGGTTTTGAAGATATTTTTTTAGATATTTTTATTGGCGGTATTTTACTAAAATTTTGCATATAACCGTTTTTTAATATTACCTTAACTATTCCATAAAATCATCGAAATCGCTTCACTAAAACATATAGCTCCCATACAACTGATTGATCAGAGACGTTGCTTTGCGTTATAACTCCTTCAATTAAACAGGTTAAAATTTAGTATAGGTTCAATTTAATATATAGCACGCATACAATTTATTATTCAGATATGAAGTTA